TATGTAGACAACATGAAGTCAAGTAACATCCATTGTCTTTTCATTGTGATGGTTGTATCTCAACATCAGAATTAACCATAGAATATTAACCAAAATGTGTTCAGTTGATAATCAGAACTGACATTTTCTTCTTTTGATTATTCATATGAGTTTAAAAGTATATGTTATTACACTGATAATTAAGGAAATAGGGTACCTTGAATTTTCTGAAATCCACCCACTGCTCAGTTGTAAATTTCAAACCAGCCACTGAATTTTTAAAATTGAGCTCATAAAATTTCTGAGATGTTAGATAGCTTTATTCGGTAAATCTATTAGTTATAATTAACTCTTGTAATGCATGATGTGTCATCTGGTTAATTCTCAGCTGGTGTTGGTTCTCCATAGAAATTTAACTGCTCATATGAGCATTTTCATCATCGTTTTAAGAATAATGGATTTTATATCTGGCACTGATTTTCCTTAACAACGTTTAGATTACTATTTTTATAAGTTGCATTTATATTTCTGATACATGAAAGTATTTTGACTATTAGGCATGTCAAATCAAGCCAAAAGTATTTCAAACACAATTCTTGCATTATAACACAGAACATCATAGTCTTTTATTTTATATGTATTAAGAAGCCTGTAAGTTAAAAAAATTTAAAATTATAATAAAACAGGCTTAACCTTGTCAACATTGTGATATATAAAAATAGCATACAAAAAAATGTATGTACAATGGTGGTGATATTCTTTATTTGAATAAACAAGCAGTAAATTTTACTATTGAAAATTTATTCAATAAGCAGCAGCAGTCATTATATCAGTTGTCGATATGATGTAGTTGCCATAGCCTGCATTATTTATGGTATGACTCAAGAATATTGAGCAGAAATGTCATTACAAATGCAGTGTGGCAAATCCAACTTTTATAAAACATTAACAAAGACTGAACTTCTTTTAGAGACAAAAACAGGTGATAGGCAGTGAGGGAATTGAAAGTGAAGGTGAAGGTGAAAGTGAGGCAGGTGGATGTGGGGGAGCATGGGAGTGGTGAAAGCAATAGAGGTGAAGTGTATGGAAGTGTAAACAAAGTCGAAGTGGCCAACTTCAGTGCTCCACTACCCGCATCATTATCACCTGGCGTATGGTTATTTATTGTAATTACCTCGCTCTCCATGAGTGTATATTGTACTATATAAGTGTGTAAACAGTATCCTCTCTGTGACTTGATAAATCTCAACCCAATGAAAGTTTGTTATGCATGGTGTATCTTTTAACCCCTACATCACTTTTTACTTAATTAAGAACTACAGTGGTACCTCAGTATACGAACACTTTGGTATAAGTTCAACTTGGTATATGTCCTGTTTGGCTGTGAAAATTTTTGCTTGGTATACGACCTTTGTTTGGAATATGACTCGTGTGCTAGAACTGGTATGGGTCAAAATGAGTCACGACACTGTGCGCTACATTGCAGCCCAGAGCCATATTATTACCAGCGACATACCTTGTTCACTGAATTTAATAGTTCTAACAACTGCCTTTAGATGCCGCTATAAATGAAGGGAGAAGTAATGAATAATTCATGCCAAGAATTGTAAACAAAAGCAGAGTGACTAGGCCAAATGCAGATTCATACACGTTTTCTTTGGTGCTGGACCAGAGAAAACGTAATGTTTTCCCTCCGTCCAGCATATAAACATAGCATGTTTATATGCTGTGTAACGTGTTTCTTATATAATTTTGAAGAAAATATCATAGATGGTTTAATGAAAATGTCTATATTAACATAAAATAAGAGATTTAACCCTTTAATGGTCGAGAGGCCCTCTCCTAAACTTGTTCTCAAGGTCAAAAATTTTTTGAAAAAATAAAAAAAAAATGTTCTTAGGAAATGATAGAGAATCTTTTCCTGATCATAATGACACCAAAAGTATGAAATTTGATGAAAAACTTACAGATTTATACTCTCGCAAAGTTAGCGGTCTCGACGATGTTTACGCATCGGCGATTTCACCCACTTTGAGCCCTATTTTCTATCAACTCTAATGCACCAGTCGACAAAAATCATAGCTATTTCATTAGAACTCCATTTGTTCTGTCGAATGAGTACAAGAAACCAGTCGATTACCAATTTCAACTATCCAATAAAGTGGTCAGAATTTGGCAATCTTGCCAATTTCAAAATAGGATCCAGAATAAACAAGACAGACATTCCTGGCACTAAAATAACATTTTCTCTGTTCATTAGTCACGTCCCCGGGCCCCTCTTACATTTCTTTTGCTTTCCACTTTGAACTTCTATTCTCACAAAAAATAGAAGATTTACTGTTATGCAGACTACTGCATTAGTGTAGAAATGGTATATATAATATCAGCGCACTTGTGAAAGAATATTAGACTCACTAGTTGACGTGTATTGGATGCGTGGCATGATTTATTTACTTTTGAACATTGGCAAAAATCGAACATTTCTTCTACGTTGAGCTCAATTTCAAGGTACTTTTCATTGTGAAACCAATCAAAATCATCTCAATTTCTGTCATATGTCTTCCATTCTATAAAATGACACCAAGAAAATGAGAATGCAACCATAAATACCACACGAAAATACACTGCAAAGTCTCCGTTTTAAACCAAAAACATGGAGTTTTTTTTTCTCATTATGCACCGTGTGCTGCAGGATTTTTTTATACTGTGCACATTGACCACACAGACTCAGTCTTTCATATGTAGGTCTACCAGCTTTTTCTCACTAGATTTGAAGGCGCAAGAATTTATGCATACTAGTACGGCACCAACCCTGGCGTGCAAGCCGTACTAGTATGAAACTGACCCTGAAAGGGTTAATATGCCCAAGAGTGATTATTATTAGTATTACAGAATGTTTTCCCTCTACCTGGCAACGACACCTCCATAGCATATAAACATAGCATGTTTGTATGCTGTGTAACATGTTTCTTACATAATTTTGAAACTATCATAGATGGATTAATGAAAATGATTATATTGACGTAAAATAAGACATTTAATGTACCCAAGCGTGATTATTATTATGTAATATTAGCAAAGTAAAGTGAGGTTAAGTTTGCATTTATTTCATCTAATTCTTTAGTATTTATGTATGTATTTTTGTATTAAGCAGTGTTTAAATTGCATATTTTAGTATTAAGCGGTGTTTAAATTATTTTATACAGCCCCATCAATGTATAATATGCCAATAAGAGTAGGATTTTTTTTTTCATGGGAACAGATTAATCGTTTTCCCTATATTTCTTAAGGGAAAATTCGTTTGGTATACGTCCTGTTTGGTATAAGTCCAAGGTTCTGGGATGGATTAAGGATGTATACTGAGGTACCACTGTACTTATATTTGCCATATGATAAGTTTTTCAAATTCTGCCATATTTGCCAGTTGCTCAAAAAAACTGGGTGATTTATTTAGAGAATGTAATACAGTGGAACCTCAAATTTCGAACATATTGCTTATTGAACTCTTTGAAAATTGACTACTTTTTTCGAACCAACTTTGTCCCTATTATTGAACGAGCCCCTATTTTTGAACCACCGGGTACTGGACCTGTCCGCTTTCTTCAAAGATTAAGGAGATTTGCGCCAAGTGAAATGATGTCCAAATGTTTGTGGAGAAATACCACCCTGAGCAAGCTGAAACAAGCCATCTTTGCAACAGGTTCAGTGACAAAACCATGTCCCATTTTAGGGAAATCTTAGAGGCCCCAGAAACAGAGGACTGTGGACAGGTATTTTGTGAGACAGGGGTCCAGTGACTCTCAAGCTGGTTCTAGTGGCATTAAAAGACAGAGAAGGGATGTAACCCCAGAGAGGGCTTTGATACCTAAAGTCCTTATGGAGGGGGATTCCCCTTCCAAACACTAACCCCCAACTCTCTCTCTCCTCCTCCCTATCTTCCAGATGCCATCACCAATCTTCAATAAAGGTAAGTAAAAATGTTATTTTATATGTTTATTTCAATTTATTAATACATAATTGTACACTATATTTGCTGTGTGTATGTAAAACTATAATAAATCTCCATAAAATGTATTTTTTGTGAATATTTTTGGGTTTCTGGAACGGATTAATTGTATTTCCATTATTTCTTATGGGGAATATTGCTTTGCTTTTCAAACTTTCCGAATTTAGAACTAGCTCCTGGAACGGATTAAGTTCGAAATTTGAGGTTCCACTGTATATGTCTTTTTTTATTGATTAGCTTGGTTAATGCCTTGTGGGTAGCAATGTTTGTGTAGTTTACTATTATATAAATTAAAAATGTATACAGGATGAGTAATATACTGTAGAGTAAAGATATTCTTTATAAAATAATAATCTACTAAATATGCAAGTTTTTATATACTGTCTTCCCAAGAAATTTTAGTTAAGTAGTTGACCATGAATGAACGACAAAAGTTTTATGATGTTAATTAATCGTTACTTTAATGTTATATTCTGTAGTGATTGCAGCATTAACCTCTGGAAATTTCCAAAACTAGGAAGTTTGGTGGAGATTAAATACAAGAATTTATTTTAATGTACAGCTTAATATTTTTTTATTATGGTGATAATTAAACTGGCCCTAGAAATAAGTGTTTTTAAAATGAAATATACACCTTGTGGTATATTATGTTAAATTTTAAACAGCTTGTTTGTTTATTTTCAAATTTTAACAAGAATTTTTGACAATTCACTACTTCATTATTCACAAAATGCCAAAACTAATACTATATAAGAATTTTTGAAAACCATATACAGTATATTTCATAAACTGAGTTATTTACCTAATATAAATTTTGGTTCATTTCACAATGGTACTCTTGGAAATTTTTAAGTATTGTAATGTAAGTCTTTTTTATGATACTCTATGATCATATCATTTAAATTTCATAAATAGCATAACTCGGCTTTTTTAGTCTTGTTTCATTGCACTTTAATTGTAGATTCATTGCTTTGGTAGCTCTTTCCTGATAGATATAATATTCTTGCTCCTACAGAATTAATCGGAGAGCAAGGCGGGCGTGTCGAAAGGCCGTCAAGTCTCAAGCTTTTTACTGGCTCATTATTGTCCTCGTCTTCCTTAACACTGCAGTCTTGGCTAGTGAGCACTACCGCCAACCTGACTGGCTAAGTCAGTTCCAAGGTGAGTCTATCGTGGTTAGTGAGCACTACCACCAACTGGCTGGCTAAGATGGTTCCAAGGCGAGTCTCTCTCTTCACTGGTATGCTTGGCCACCAACTTGATGCCAAGTTTGTTCCAAGGTGAATTTTTGTTGACTGGTGAGCATGACCTCCAACCTGACTGGCTAAATGACTTCCAGGAGGAGTTTATCTTGTCACTTGCTAGGTATTAGTGAATAACTGTAGCTGCAAGAATGTATGAAATAGGGATTTTGTTTAGTTGCATTTTTCTGTAGATTTGCTTACCATAAAGGTAACATCGTTCCATGCAGCAGTGTGCAAGTCACATAAAATAAGAGAGAAGAGAGAGAGAGAGAGAGAGAGCTATTATTCTAATACTAGACATAAAAAACCCACACTTCAATGAGGAAACTTTAGGACAACATTTTGGTTCATCCTAGACCATTAGCAAATCAAAATTGAGTGAGAAAATGGGTAGAAAACCAGACACCAGTTTCTTGCTCATTTGTCACTTTATAATAATCCAGGACTGATCTAAACATTGTCTTAACATTTTCTTTCCAAAGTGTGATGTGTTCCTGCAGTTTTATTGTGACTTACATTCTTCTGGTCAAACTCACTCTTCCCAAATGTGTTTTGAAAAATAAAAAATTATCGCTATCAAGAAAGATGACGTAATTCGACTCATGAAATCGTAATGACACGATTGCAAACAAACCATAGCACGGGCAGGGATAGAACCCGCGATCAGAGTCTCAAAACTCCAGACCATCGCATTAGCCAGTGGCTTAACGCGATGGTCTGGAGTTTTGAGACTCTGATCGCGGGTTCTGTCCCTGCCCGTGGTATGGTTTAAGATGACATAATAATTAATTTCATATAATAGGTTTGTAATTGCCTATTTGTAACTACAGGAGCAAAGCTGTGCTTGTGGTGTCCCATTGAATTAAAAAAATAAATGCAGTAGACTGTCGATTAAAATGGTGGTATTGTTTTTGCAAATAGTTAAGTAAATGCATCATCCAAAATTAACTGAAGCAAATATGTCAAGACAGAACAAATTTTTAACTGAAGAAAATGTGTCAGAACAAATTGTTTTAGGCTTTGAAACTGTAAAAAAAAAAAAATTTATTTAATTGTAGCTATATGTAGTGACATGTTGCTGGTATATGCTGATGATTTTAAAAGGAGTGGAGAGGTATAGTGTGGCCCTACTGGGGTGGTGGATTGTTGGTTGAGGTGGATGTCTTATGCTCCTGCACTGATGTCATTGGTTGTACTGAGGAATTCTGTAATACGTCTTTAGTCTTTTACCCTGCAGTACTTTATATAACTGACTGTAAGGCATCATCACCTGCTCCAGACCCAGTTTCAGAGCAGTGCTTCTGACTTTGTCAGGGTTCTCTTTAGTGAAAAGGTTTGCAACTTTACCAATAATATAGAATTACTCGTGTAACAGTTTTTCTTCAGGTTATTGTTCCTTATCTTCATCTGGTATCTGGGCATTGAGCTTTGCCAATATTTCCTCTAAACTTCTTTCCTTAGCTTCCTGAGAGCTTATTCACATATTCCTGCATTTTTTCAAAGCCCTCACCTGGTAATCTCCTTGCCAGCTGAACAGTTTCTTGCACCGGCTCTCAACTGAGGGGAGAAAACTTGTGAAATTATTCACCACTCTAGACCATAACTCTCCAGCTTGCATTTAATGTTGATTGGGGCATTTTGTTCTATGCACTTTTGACGTAGCTGGTGATATCTGCAATGTTAAATTTACACCGGAAGTTTAATACCTCAATGTTTGAGCCACTGTCCTTTGCTACAGCAACTTTCTGCATCACTTTTCATGTGTAGTTACACTTACATGAGCTAATAATTCCACAATCCAGTGGTTGTATTAAAGATGCTGCAATTGGTGGTAAAAATACAACTTTTACATGCGGATACATATCCAGTAAGAGTTCTGGATAAGTATGGGAATTATCAAGTGAAGAGAATCTTGAATGCACGATTCTTGCTGCACAGGTAAAACATGACTCCTAGAATAAATTGATGCTTCAACCAGTCCATAAATAATTCTTCTGTCAGCCATGCTGACTGATTTGACCTCCAAACAACTGGTAAGGTGGTTTTATCTTTATCTTTCAAAGCATGGGGAGTCTTGGAGCAGTAAGTAACCATGGGCTTTCACTTAAAATCACCTGACACATTACCCTGCAGTAACAAGCTGAGGCAATTCCTTGCTGCCTTGAATCTCGGTGCACTTTTGTCTTGCTGACTGATGCAAGTTCTTGATGACATCTTCTTTCAATAAAGACTTGCCTCATCAGTATTAAACACTTGATGTGGTTCATAGTCATCCTCAGAAATAATTTCCTCCAATTCACCATGGAAATTCCCTGCAGCCATATGGTCAGTGGAAGTACTTTTCCCAGGAAACTTAATATTATACAACTGATTGCACAATTTTTAACTTATGGAACCAGCCTGTACTAAACATGCACTCTTGTTCAGGCCTCGGCCGTCATTTTCATCTTATCGTTTTAGAAGGAACAGTTTCATCTTGTTCCTCTTGCTGTTCCTTACACTGCATCTCTTCCAGCTCCATTCGTCAGCTTCTCAGATTGTGACTCAAACAGCTCCTCAAAGTCTTCTTCCTCTAGGTGCTCCCTGGCGTGGGTTGCGGCAAAATGTCATACTATGTAGAAGGCGCGCAACTCAAAATTTGGATTTGCAGAAGTATTGTGAATGAAACTTTAACTAACACGGCATTCTGTTTGTATGTCCGAATGTTTGTAACAAGAATGTTCATAAGTAGGGTTGCATCTGTACTCCTATTAAGATGAAATTAAGTGGTGTACCTTTCTTATTTTTCTTCTCAATCTATTCATTCAGTTTTTCCATCTTATTTTGCTGTTGTGACCTATGTTTCATTCTTTTCAGGAGGTTACAACTTGGGTTACTTATTTTTTTGTGCACCACTCTTAAGCTTTTCTGATTTTTTTTTTTTTTCAAAACACCAAGACTTTTACACCTTAACTTCTTGCCACTTCCAGCATCACTCTCATTCCTCTTGGTTGCTATGATGATGAAAAGATAAAAAGTTGATTCACTAACATAGCTGAGTATGGTATAGGATGTATATTCAGAGAACTGAGGCATAGGAGGTTGTGTTCATTATTTGTAGCTGAACCTTCCCCCAAAGTCTGCCTGTAAGGTGGAGGGAAAAGCATCTGCAGCGTTCCATATTTTTCCCCTAAATTTGAACTGTCGTAAATGAACAGTATAGCATCAGTTTTCGCATAAAATCTTCCTAACATCGTATCTTAATGATGGTCTACTGTGTATACACACACACATGTAGTATATACATACACATTGTATGTTACTTACAAAGTTTTTTTTCCTTTCTTTCAGATTATACAAATCTTTTCTTCGTGGTGCTGTTTACATGTGAAATGTTGTTAAAAATGTACAGTTTAGGCTTCCAAGTAAGTAGGAACATTATTTGTCATCTTGTTTATATAATAGTTTTAATTTATTTCTTCTAATAAATTTTTCAGATTTGCTGTTAACCTTTGCCTCTAATGTTTTAACCAAATTATGACAGCTGCTTCATTTTTTAATGTTTTACCAACTGCAGAAGATTTTATTTAGAAATCTAATAGATCTTTATATAAGTTACATTTATATTTGCAAACAGTATTTCACATTCAGTGAAATTATCTTGTGCCAGATAATGGGCAAAAACAGTTAAGTCTTGATCATTATGATTAACCTGTAAACGGTCCAAATGTATATATACGATCTTACCACTAGTGCCCCAAACGTATATAAATGTTTTATTTTCCCTGCCTTTAAATATGGCACGATTGGCCTGAGATGCCTTGTCAGCATAGAATGGTTCATAGCAGTGTGCACTGTATTAAAAAAAAATCTGGGACCACTTAGTACCTTGTGGGAGTACCAGTTCAAATGAGCACCAGCTAGAGCAAACACTGCAGCAAACACTTGGGATTCACTGATTTCATGTAGTATTAACTCTCCCATTTTAGGAGGAAAGTGATGTTGACCCCAAGTTTAGTGGCTTTGAGGTAGATGTGGCCATAAGTGGTTGAGGAAATATCAAAAAACCTTGATAATAACCCATGTGCAACATTTGTGCAACACCCTTTCAGAATGTCTTATAACCTGCCCTAAGTAAAGAGAAACAATTCTGGAACGTAATGCTTGTTCAGCCGGCTGGCTGGCTGGCTCGCTCGCTTGCTCGCTCCATTTGTTTGTCTGTGTCTACCTGTATCTGTCTGTTTATATCTGTCTCACAGGTACACATAAATACATTTATACATAGTGTAACAAAAAAAGGCACAATACCGTGACTGGAACGATACACAAATAACCCGCACATAGAAGAGAGGAGCTTAAGAAGACGTTTCGGTCCAACTTGGACCATTTACCAAGTCACACTAACGAAAAGGGGAGAAGGAGGGGTATATATAGGCAGGAGGTCGTAGTGGTAGTAGTAGTGGAGGTAGTGGGTTATTTGTGTATACATAGTGTAAATATAGCAGATGAACAAGGAGGCTTTAGGAAAGGTAGGGGGTGTGTGGACCAGGTGTTTACAGTGAAACATATAAGTGAACAGTATTTAGATAAGGCTAAAGAGGTCTTTGTGGCATTTATGGATTTGGAAAAGGCATATGACAGGGTGGATAGGGGGGCAATGTGGTAGATGTTGCAAGTGTATGGTGTAGGAGGTAGGTTACTAAAAGCAGTGAAGAGTTTTTACGAGGATAGTGAGGCTCAAGTTAGAGTATGTAGGAAAGAGGGAAATTATTTCCCAGTAAAAGTAGGCCTTAGACAAGGATGTGTGATGTCACCGTGCTGTTTAATATATTTATAGATGGGTTGTAAGAGAAGTAAATGCGAGGGTCTTGGCAAGAGGCGTGAGTTAAAAGATAAAGAATCACACACAAAGTGGAATTGTCACAGCTGCTCTTTGCTAATGACACTGTGCTCTTGGGAGATTCTGAAGAGAAGTTGCAGAGATTGGTGGATGAATTTGGTAGGGTGTGCAAAAAGAAGAAAATTAAAGGTGAATACAGGAAAGAGTAAGGTTATGAGGATAACAAAAAGATTAGGTGATAAAAGATTGATATCCAGATTGGAGGGAGAGAGTATGGAGGAGGTGAATGTATTCAGATATTTGGGAGTGGACGTGTTAGCGGATGGGTCTATGAAAGATGAGGTGAATCATAGAATTGATGAGGGGAAAAGAGTGAGTGGTGCACTTAGGAGTCTGTGGAGACAAAGAACTTGTCCTTGGAGGCAAAGAGGGGAATGTATGAGGTATAGTTTTTACCAACGCTCTTATATGGGTGTGAAGCATGGGTGATGAATGTTGCAGCGAGGAGAAGGCTGGAGGCAGTGGAGATGTCATGTCTGAGGGCAATGTGTGGTGTGAATATAATGCAGAGAATTCGTAGTTTTGGAAGTTAGGAGGAGGTGCGGGATTACCAAAACTGTTGTCCAGAGGGCTGAGGAAGGGTTGTTTGAGGTGGTTCGGACATGTAGAGAGAATGGAGCGAAACAGAATGACTTCAAGAGTGTATCAGTCTGTAGTGGAAGGAAGGCGGGGTAGGGTCGGCCTAGGAAAGGTTGGAGAGAGGGGTAAAGGAGGTTTTGTGTGCGAGGGGCTTGGACTTCCAGCAGGCATGCATGAGCGTGATTGATAGGAGTGAATGGAGACAAATGGTTTTTAATACTTGACGTGCTGTTGGAGTGTGAGCAAAGTAACATTTATGAAGGGGTTCAGGGAAACCGGCAGGCCGGACTTGAGTCCTGGAGATGGGAAGTACAGTGTCTGCACTCTGAAGGAGGGGTGTTAATGTTGCAGTTTAAAAACTGTAGTGTAAAGCACCCTTCTGGCAAGACAGTGATGGAGTGAATGATGGTGAAAGTTTTTCTTTTTCGGGCCACCCTGCCTTGGTGGGAATCGGCCAGTGTGATAATAAAAAAAATAAATAGTGTAAATTACCTAGGATAGCCCAAAATATCCAGATGAAGTGCTATACTTTGCTTGAAGATTTGAGTAAACATGATGATGCAGTCTTGTGGCTCTCTCTGAGACAGAGAGCTAGACAGACAGAAAAATAGACAGACATGTTTGTGTACTGGTGAAAACAAATATAACTCTTATCTAATGTTATCTCATCTTATCACTTCACTGTCAGGGGTGGACTGAGGCTTGTTTTACATGCTTTAAGAGAAATTATTATTATGATTATTATTATTATTATTATTATTATTTTTATTTTATTTTTATTATTTTATTTTTATTAACACATCGGCTGATTCCCACCAAGGTAGGGTGGCCCAAAAAAGAAAAACTCTCCTCATCAATCACTCCATCACTGTCTTGCCAGAGGGGTGCTTTACACTACGGTTATAAAACTGCAACATTAACACCCCTCTTTCAGAGTGTAGACACTGTACTTCCCATCTCCAGGACTCAAGTCCGGCCTGCCGGTTTCCCTGATTCCCTTCATAAATATTACTTTGCTCACACTCCAACAGCACGTCAGGTATTAAAAACCATTTGTCTCCATTCACTCCTATCAAATACGCTCATGCACGCTTGCTGGAAGTCCAAGCCCCTCACACACAAAACCTCCTTTACCCCCTCCCTCCAATCTTTTCCTAGGCTGACCCCTACCCCGTCTTCCCTCCACTACAGATTTATACACTTTCGAAGTCATTCTGTTTTGCTCCAGTCTCTCTACATGTCCGAACCACCTCAACAACCCCTCCTCAGCCCTCTGGATAATAGTTTTGGTAATCCCACACCTTCTCCTAATTTCCAAACTACGAATTCTCTGCATTATATTCACACCACACATTGCCTTCAGACATGACATCTCCACTGCCTCCAGCCTTCTCCTTGTTGCAACATTCATTACCCATGCTTCACACCTATACAAGTGTTGGTACAACTATACTCTCAAACATTCCCTTTTTTGCTTCCACGGACAGAGTTCTTTGTCTCCACAGACTCCTAAGTGCACCACTCGCCCTTTTTCTCTCATCAATTCTATGATTCACTTCATCCTTCATAGACCCATCTGCTGACACGTCCACTCCTAAATATCTGAATACATTCGCCTCCTCCATACTCTCTCCCTCCAATCTGATATCCAGTCTTTCGTCACCTAATCTTTTTGTTATTCTCATAACCTTACTCTTTCCTATATTCACTTTTAATTTTCTTCTTTTACATACCCTACCAAATTCATCCATCAACCTCTGCAACTTCTCTTCAGAATCTCCCAAAAGCATTGTGTCATCAGCAAAGAGCAACTGTGACAACTCCCACTTTGTGTTTGATTCTTTATCTTTTAACTCCACACCTCTTGCCAAGACCCTAGCATTCACTTCTCTTACAACCCCATCTATAAATATATTGAACAATCATGGTGACATCACACATCCTTGTCTAAGGCCTACTTTTACTGGGAAACAATCTCCCTCTCTCCTACATACTCTAACCTGAGCCCCACTATCCTCGTAAAAACTCTTCACTGCTTTCAGTAACCTACCTCCTATACCATACACCTGCAACATCTGCCACATTGCCCCCTATCCACCCTGTCATATGCCTTTTCTTAATCCATAAATGCCACAAAAACCTCTTTACCCTTATCTAAATACTGTTCACCTATATGTTTCACTGTAAACACTTGGTCTACACGCCCCCTCTACCTTTCCTGAAGCTTCCATGTTCATCTGCTATCCTACTCTCTGTCTTACTCTTAATTCTTTCAATAATAACTACCATACACTTTACCAGGTATACTCAACAGACTTGTTCCCCTATAATTTTTGCACTGTCTTTTATCCCCTTTGCCTTTATGCAAAGGAACTATGCATGCTCTCTGCCAATCCCTAGGTACCTTACCCTCTTCCATACATTTATTAAATATTAGCACCAACCACTCCAAAACTATATCCCCTCCTGCTCTTAACATTTCTGTCTTTATCCCATCAATCCCAGCTGCCTTACCCCTTTTCATTCTACCCACTGCCTCACGAACTTCCCCCACACTCAAAACTGGCTCTTCCTCACTCCTACAAGATGTTATTCCTCCTTACCCTATACATGAAATCACAGCTTCCTTATCTTCATCAACATTTAACAATTCCTCAAAATATTCCCTCCATCTTCCCGATACCTCTAACTCTTCATTTAATAACTCTCCTCTCCTATTTTTAATTGTCAAATCCATTTGTTCCCTAGGCTTCCTCACTTATTAATCTCACTCCAAAACTTTTTCTTATTTTCAACAAAATTTGTTGATAACATCTTACCCACTCTGTCATTTGCTCTCTTTTTACATTGCTTCACCACTCTCTTAACCTCTCTTTTTCTCTCCATATACTCTTCCCTCCTTGTATCACTTCTACTTTGCAAAAACCTCTCATATGCTAACTTTTT